TTCAAATATTATTATATCAAATTTCATTTGAATATTCTAAATTGTTAAAAAAATAGATTAGTAGTATATTTATAGTACGAATACAGACAAATTTGTCTGTGTTGATCTACAATCTAAAGGATAACTTATACATAGTTCTAAAAATTTATCTTTCTTAAAGTTATATAACTTTTCCAATCTTTTATTGTCTTTTGCATTTTTTATATATTTTATTACTATATTAAATATCTTTTAAAGTTTTTTAATTTAATCTTTCTATTATCTGTCTACTTATTTGTCTCAACTTGCTTATATAAAACAATAAAGATCACTACAGGGAATCATAAATACTATAGTGTACTTAATAATATTTAAGTGTATCTATAAATTCCTTTTATACATTTTGATAATATTAAGTTTGCAAAGCAAACAAAGACAAATTTTATATAATAAAATAATAATTTTATTAAAAATATTTATATACAAATAAAAATAGGATAAATCTGGATCTCGCACCTCTGTGTAGCACTTAAATCTCACTTTCGGGATATGATAAACTTATATATCGCATATAAAAAAAGTATAAAGCAATTTCACTAGGCCCTGCTAAACTATACTATTAATGTTGTTACACTATCCACTTTATAAACAATATGATTAGTCAATTTTGATTTATATAATTCTTAAGACCAGTTCCCGGAATAAGCAGGTCTGTCTTTAATAATTATTACTAGAATCTACTAAATAACCTATTCACTTTGTACTTAGGCATGAATATATAGACATGTCAGTTAGCTAGTTTTCTCTAATACCCAACTACTATATAACGCTAATGACAAACAGTACTAATCAACCCTAACTCAATAAAAAACTATATTTAAAATAGCATGTTAACACACAATAGCCAGAATAAAAAAACCAGGGACACCCTTAGAATAGACCCGGGTTTGTAAAACCAATTGTATATATTACAAGTATCTATGCTAAATTTGTAAATCCTGGGTCTAACCTTAAAATTGCTAGTATAGTACATGTGATTTAATCTAATCAATAATTGTGATACCAATACATATTACAATAGACATAGTAATTTTTTATACTCTAATTGCTATTAATTTTATGTTTATTATACGTATTATTTAGAACCTGAAGAGAACGAATTACAAGATGATATGCTGTCGCTCTAATTTACACCTCTTCCACCTCTTTCTGTACTGTCGTTATTGCTCTTATTCTTGTGAAAAGCCACATTGTGGCCCACTCTATTGCAAATACGATATTTATAAGATCCTCTACTCTTAGATCTGCTTTGTTCTTTTTCAACACTGCTAATATACCTTCTCTTGGGTGGTCATCCTTTAGTAATAACTGTTCAGATTCTTTACATTATTAAGGTTTGTCTCATTCATATGTTGATCTTGTTTAGCTTCAGATTCCTTTGATTAATCACTAGTTTAATTCGTTTAAATTTCCAGAGAATTATCAGATACTTCATCATTGGCAAATCTTTCATGCATGTCGTGATGATTTTTATTATGTTTTTGGTCAATGTAGGCTTGAAGATAGGCAACAATTCTATTATCATTTTGTTCAACTGCAAGTAACGTAGTCTCTCTTGCTAGTTCCTATACACGGCTATACAAATTTTTTTACAAATAGATTTTTTTAATCATTAGGACAGTTAATGAAACCGTGGCAGGTTTTCGTCTTGGTAAGATTTCTTTGTTATTAAAAATGCCCATTTCATAACTAAATATAGTACTTTCTTTTTCTGAAATTGACACATCTTGGTGATAGTCTTTGTACCATCTTCAAGGTATCATACTAATGTGAAATGCTACAATTTTTGAGTATATCATCACATGAAAATAGTAGCGACATATGATTTCTTTTGAGATAGACATTAAGCAAGAGCAGAGAAAGGATACTGCATTGATAATGACAACAAAATGTATGTGATATCTTTTTTTATTCTGCATGTCTGTAACTTTCCATACTTCTAACACTTTATCCTGCCTCATTTCATCAATAATTGCCTGGAGTGTAATAAGGTGTGTATCATTTTTGTCTTCAATAAATCTGTCAGATGTCAGTTGAATACTTTCCTTTATAATATAGAGTATACTATTAGTTAACTTGAATTCTATTTTAATATTGTGTATTATTACCTGTTCATTATATAACTCTTCAATGCTAGGTTCAGTCTTGTTTACACTAATAAATAAGCACTGTGTCATTTCTATTTTAATTGCATTGGCAATAGGTTCAGTAAGATACTCGTTAATAACTTTTACTAATTCGGAAAACAAATCTTGCTCAGGAATAGAAATAGTATTCGTCATAATAGCATGTCTGTAATCACTAATCTGATTCCACTATACTTTTTTTTTTAATCTTGCATCAAGCCGCTCTGCAAGCTCACATAGTGTACTGTTTGCTTTCAACTGTTGTTTGATAACCTAATTGTAACTTTCGACTCTTGCTGTATTTTCAATGCCCGTTGTAAATATTCTGTAAAGATAAGTTTGAGTTTACGAATGACTCCTTAGTTCCAACACATGTAAAAGATAGTCTTTCACTACTAGAAAATTGTTAAGTAGTTTATTCCATCTTTCTTTAAATAATGGTTTACATAAGCTATTATGGCATCTATAAAACTGTTGAATAAAATTATCCTAATTAATACCCAATTTTACTTTTAGGTTTTTAGATAAGTTTTGCACTATATGAAAAATATAATATGCTGAATGTATTTCAGAAAAAACAATTGGAATTGCGGTATCAAGTGCAGGATCTCCATCGGTGAACATAACAATTGGAGCCTTTTTTATGCCTTTTTTAATCTGCTCAAGTATCCAAACATGTGTATCAACTCCAAATATGTGTATTAACAGTTTTATTGCTTATTAGTACTTGACAAACAAGACGGGTTTTACACTTGTTATCAATTACTACAAAGATTTCAAGCGGTATTTGATATTGATTGGTCCAAGATATATTGTCATTAACAACAACATTATAATACCTTAGCCAAAGATCTATCTGGTCCAGTAATATCCAAAGAAGACGAATTAGACGATTGTCCTTGTCCAAATCGAAATCAACAACCTAGCATAGATCATCTAGCTTTTTTGCATTAAAGAAGTAAGTAAAACTGATGTATTATTACTAATTTTAGTTACATTTTTTGCTTTTTGAATCACATTCGCTAAGTCTTGATCTTGAAAATTCAGGTCCAGAAGTCGAGCCTTTAGAAGACTTTTTTGCACCGTTAGTGACAAATTGCTATACTTCATCATTATGTTTACTTCGTCAAGCATCTTATTAGATAATGTTCTCCAAAATTTTGTATTTTAGGAACAAGGGTATAGTTATGCTTATTAACGAATATTGTAACTGAAATTTGTGTGACTCATTCTGGAATAGATAAGTTGATATGCCACTAGCAATTCACTTTCTTTGGTTTTCGTATTTCTCTGTGTTCTGTTTAAGGCTGCTTTAATTGTTTTTTTAGATTTGTACTTTCTACTGAATTCACATACTAAGGTCCTTTTATGAATTTGATCTGAGTTGTTTTGCTTTATCTGATATTTAGTAACTACAAACCCGTTTCTAGCACCGTATATGTTAAAATAGTCTTCTACTTCGTTTTACAAATTAAAACAAATATCCTTAGAAATATCCTCTGAAGCAACTATAAGTGAACCTATCAATTTTAGTTTGTTAGTTTAGGCTTGTATCTGTATAATGCCAAAAGAAAACCAAACCTGGATTCTTGAGTTTGTTGATTATCTATATTTGTCAGCAAAACTTTTGTGATTAGATTTGGGAATTAAAGCCAGACTTCAATATGCCTGGGTTTGGATTTAGAGTTTTGGGTTGGGTTGGGTTGGATTGATCTAATCTTCAACTTTATCAAATTAAATCTTGATTCAGATTCTACTCCGGGCTGCTCCAGACCTACTTCAGATTACACCAGGTCATACCAACTTTATAAACATTGTTTCAATTTGGCTGGGTTCAGCCTGAAATGGCTCCGGAGTATATTACTCTTTAAATACAATATTTTAGTCTTGCTGGCAAGTATAGTTATACAATATACATTGTCAATTAGACTTTTCTGGAACTGAGTTGGTAAGTTGCAAGATCTGGTTTTATTTTGGCAGTGCTTACTTCAGGTACTTACTATTATCTTCATTACTTTTATTGTGTTCAATATTTTCTATTTGTATTGCAGGAGTATTATTTAACTCTTCAGGATCATGATTTTTGAATATAACTAGGGTATTTGTTAATAAGCTTCGATTGATAATGTAATAAGTTTGCTTCTATATGACTTATGATATTTTTCAATTAATTCACTAATATCATATTTAATAAGGTCACTTGGGTTTATTTCCAAAAGTCTTTGATTTGGTTCCATTTAACGAATAATATTTGATTGTTTTAAGAGGTGTTCTTAATTAAATTTTTTAATGATTTGTTTTCTGATATAATTTGCGATTATTTAGTTTCATAATACAATTACAATTCTTATTTATATCAGAATCTTTTTTTATTAATAAATTTAAGGAATGTGATACTATTATATCTCACTTTATTCTATATATATAAATTATATATCTTTGGCTAATTAGATTTTATATTTATATGCAATGCTAGATTTAATTGCTTTGCGCCCTGCTAGATAAATATTTATTTATAAAAATAAATACAAATAATAAAAGCTATATTGTAATTTTTATAATTCTTGTATAAAAAAATAATAAATTTTTTACTTCAAACCAATCTTCACTTTCTGTCCAATTTTCTTCATTTGCTTCTAAATCAAAAATCCGAATTTCATTAAATCTTGTAGGTTTGAGAGAATTTACGAGAAAGCATTTAAAAATTTTGATAATAACTAAAATATAAAATATATTAGTAAAAAGCTTCTCTTTATACATATTTGCAAGCTATAGCAATCTGAAAATATAACTTAGAATCTAAGTCAGGTTTTTAAAAAATAATAGAAATTATTCTTGTTCAAAAGAAACTTAGAATAATCTTCTATTTTTCTAGTACAGCATGATTCAAAACTATAATTACTAAGTAAAATGAACTTCACCAACTTACTTTTTTCTTTTTCTGAAAAATAAAAATGAATAATAAGTATTATTGTTATCATTGATATCAACTATTAAATAATGCTAGTAAAATCACTATTCATGCTTATAAGATATTATATTTTACACAAACAATTTGGTTTTGCTATTAGCAAAAAATCTCGCAGTATAACTTTTAATATAATATAATTCTAAACAAAATACTTAGTAAATAAATATTTACCTTTAATAAATATAGTTTTGTAGATAATTTTTAATTAAATATATCTAAAAGCAAATATTAAATATAACAAAAATTAAATATCCTAATATAAAAGTATAAAAAAATTGTTTTGTATATTTAACTTTAAAGAAAAATAATGAGACGTCAAATTCTTTAATGTAAACAGATAACAAAAATCTAAAAGCAATAAAAACAATAATAATTAAATATATAAAAAAATACATTTTTAAAAGATATTTTAGGAAATTTAAAAAAATTTTTAAAAGAAATTTAGAATTTAGAAGCTTTGTAATATTAAAATCTAAGGTTTTTATTTACAAACAAACAAAAAATAATAAAATTTAATTGGTTCTTATAATTTATTTATTTTTAAACTATTTACAAAATTATAATAAAATGATAATATATGTGTTAAAGATAATTATTTCTGTACTTATCGCATGGCTGAGCAATCCTCTCAGTCTACCTTTTGGCAAAATAAGTGTATATATCTTGATTGGTTCTTGTAAAAATTATTCTATGAAAACTGGTAACTTTACTTTAGCATAATTAGTATAGTATAAATTATAGTGTAAATTTTAAAATAAATAGCAATAAACTTAAAAATTAGTATGCATATTATTCAAATTTAAAAATAAACTTTCTTTATTTTTTTTAAAAAAAATTAATTACAAAATGTCTTTTTTTAAACAACATACAAAAAAATTTAACAAAAAACAAGTTGTTCATGAAGAAAAAAATAAACAACAGAAAAAAATTTACTCTGAAATTAATAATTTACCAGAAATTGAACAAGAAAATATTTATAATAATTGGAAAAATTGTTATTAAGAATATACATACCACCAAAATAGATTTTCAAAAAAACTCTATTTTGTCTTTATTAGAACAATTTAAAAATTTTTATATGCAAGAGCAAATCTAATTTAGATAGTTATATTCTTTATAATTTTATCTCTTCAAAAAAAGTATCAAAAATTTTCGTCTTTTAAGTAAAATAGATCAAAAATAATTTCGTCTTCAAATTTTAATTTTATACTCTAAAATCTAAAATAATTTCGTCAGCATATATAATCAAGAATCTGTTAATAATAAATTGTCTTGGTTGACAGATAAGGGACGTGACAAAAATCAGGTAGTTTTTTAGGGGGGAGGAGATAAAAAAAGTTAAAATTATATATAAGAACCTGATTTTTTTATATTAAAAGAGAGGAGGGAAGTAAGCCTCTGATAAAAAATAATTAAGTGATAAATAACACTGCCTAATAATAAAGAAGTTCTATTTGAAAAACTACTTTTACTATCCGACAATCAAGAAAATCTATTTGAAAAAAGCTTCTAGTTCTTCTTCAAACACTTTAATTGAATTAGAAGAAAATACATTTAGTTAAAAAGATATTTTTATCTTTTTAATTTTTTAATTTTATTTTATCTTTTACCTTTTTATTTAGCTTTTCTTTTTCTTTTTTTATTTCTTTTTATTTTTCAAAATATATTTATTTAACTAAAACTTTCTAAAAATAAATTTTTAATTCATAAATTAGATCTTAAACAAATATTATTTAGTTAAGCAAATATTAATTCTATTTTTCAAGATAGTAGACATATTAATGAAACAATTAATGATCTTGTCAATGGTTTACTTAAAATTGATAGTTTACCAAAAATTCAAGTTTGCTTGATTAATAATATTTGGTATTCTAGTAATAATAGAAGACTTTACTATATTTAAGAAGCAATTAAAAGAGAAGCAAATATAAAAGATTAAGGTTATTATCAAAAGAAAATGCAATTTAAATATAGATCAAAAATTTAATTGATGATCTGCCAGTTAATCAGAGAATTTTTCTTATTAAATATGATGCAGATCACTTATAATACAAAGTTGAATTAAAATTTTTAGCTTATAAGTAAGCTATAAAATTTTTTTAAACAAATATAGTATTTAAGTAGCATAAATGATAGAATAATACTGTAAGCCTCTAATTATAAAACTATTAAATATTGATCTTTTTTTTTAAAGAACTTTACTCAGAAAGTACACAGCATTTACTAAGTAAAGCCTTATATTAACTAGATATTAAAGTACTTTGTAATATGCTGTTCTTAGCTTATTTTATACCAAATTTATAGGGTTTTTTTATTTTTTTAGAATTTTCGACTTAAAAATAACAACAATAGACAGATTTAACAGATTGTTTACTATTCTACGTTGCATTGGTATGAGATCTTAAATGTAGTAGATTCTAATATATACGATATGATTATACAAATATTTGTATTACAAACCTTCTTTTTTTTTTATAATCGTCATTCTAGTGTCGTCTAGGTATATTTAGTTTTTCAAAGTAGAAAAACAATACACAATGTGAAAGAAACACACAGACTTCTTTGGATCTTGGGGTGTAATCATAGATCTGAAGATAAAAAGGATTAGCAAATACATTGTACAAAAACAATGCTTTTTGCAGATATACTTTCTAAGAATACCACATTAAACTTGTTAGACTCAGTGATAATAGCTTTGGATTAATAGGTGAAACCACATTGTTAGAAAGTATGCTTCACAAGAATATCACACTAACTATATTGGAAAAGTGTTTTTATATTTTAGGTTTAGGACTGATATTTGGTTCTGAAATCAATAGATCTGATAGAAATATACAGATTGTAGCTGGGCATAACACTTCTAATATTTTGGTGTTAAACATGTGATCCTCAGAAATTGATACAAGAGTAGACAAGTAGAAATAAGGATATCAATGATTGCATTAAAGAATTCAACTTAAAGCTATATAAAGACATAATCGAATAGATTCTTTTAATAGATTAGTTAATATCCAAAACGTTGGTGAGATGGAATATGATATCTAAATGTATATGGTCTAACTCAAAACACCACAACAAATGAATATATGTTAGTATTTGATGAATTTGGTTCTAAAAGAGAAATGAATAATAGACATTACGCAAATTGCGGATGATATAATAC